TATCCTTTTGTTTCACTAATAAATGCTTTGGGGATTTGAAAGTCAGTCTGCTCATTATTTTCACTATCATAGGATCATAGATTCAGAACTGGAAGGGACCTTAAAAGCCACTGAGTTCAACCCCTTTGTTTTACAAATGAGGAAACTGAGATTCAGAGAGAATCTCTTGTCCAGCGCCACCCAACTATGAAGTCTGAGGTTGGATTTGAATCCAGATGGGCCACTCAAAGTAGTTAAACTTAACCCGACCTCAGCTGTTGACACATGGTTCCTGATCCTGCATGGTTCCTGACTTGTCTCAGACTTACAAAATGACTCGTTGACCCTTCTCCCCATCTCAGGATTGGTTGTTTGCCCTTACTTCAGTTGACATAAATTCAGGACACAGCACTGCTAGTCCAGTCAAATCTACCACTACAATAGTCATCATCAAAGCTCTCAAAACATGCCATTCTTTCTTGTGAGAATCCTTATACCATTGCCTCTGATTAGGACATCCACATTATTGAGAAGCACAGGTCCAAGATTGGGCCCACTGCCAACATAGTGGGTTTGATATGATGATGATGATGATGATGATGACGATAGCTAGAATTTATAGAGCACCTACAACGTACTAGGCACTGTGCTAAGTGCCTTACAAATATCTCATTTGAAGGGAAAATAGATCCATAGGGGAGACTCACAAAGGACCCAAGTATAATTATTTAGTTAAAATATAAATATATTTTATAAATATATTTATATATTATAAATATAAATGTAATTATTTAGTGAGTCAAAGAAACAATTAAAAATTAAGTTAAAGAGAATGATAAGAATGGAACAACATATGCCATGCCCAAATGGCATTTAAAAAAAATTTCCCATAACTGGTGGGCAATGGCTGTCAAAATCTCAATAGCCATTCGTTCTTCTTCCCTGCCCCCAATCTTTAGGGAAGGGCAGAGTCACTAGAAGGTAGAGCACCTCTCTTTACCTGGCTGCTCTTACGCAGCTGGCACTGTTGATCACTGGAATGGGCTCTTGAAAAAACAGATTAATCATCATGCCCCTGACTATACGGGTTGTGTCCTATCTCCCAAAAGTCATGTGGATAACAAATCAGTGCCACCCTAGGAAGAGGGAAGGTCTTCCTGTTCAGTGGTTTCTTGGATCAGGTTTCCAAGAATATTTAACTGATAAGGATAGACCCCTTTTAGATGAAGTCCTAATTGACTCTTCTACACTTCTTCCTTCTCATTCCTTCCTCAGAGTTGCCTGGGCCTCAAAGTCCCTGCCCACTTCAGAGGGCTCCATATACCCTGGGGAAATGGCCCAGATTACCTTCTAGGGTAGATCTTCTATTTCTCAAGGTGGTTCAAAGAATTCCTTGGTTTGTTTGAGAAAGAACTTGGGGAAACATGGTGTGAAGTTGTTGGGAGATGCTCTCTTTGATATGGGGGAAGTGAAATTGTCTCTACATAGCTATGGAGATTGTGACTTTATCTGTGAAGAAAGTCAGTCCCTTCCCTGGCTTGGTAACAATCCTGAGAACCTGGATGAAGGTGAAGGAGAATTCTTACCTAGTCCCTATGGAAGAAGAGGGCAGACTCTCAGCAAAGGTCTGCAAAGGGGTAGAGGGGAGCAGAAAAAGGAGCAGGAGAGGCAAGGGATTTGGCTGTTAGTCACCGTCCCACCCACTTCTTCCATTGGCCCCCAGCCAATGAATGCAGTTAGTTATTTGGACAGTGTCGACTCAAAGTCAAAGTGATTGCCTATCTAGCACTTCCATGATGTGTTTTCCCTAGGTAGGTTGGGGGTAGGTAGAAGAAGGGAAGAGTCTAAATTTCCAGAGGCACTACAAGTCTTGGGGGGTGGGGAGTGTGGGAAAGTGAGACTCAGTATAATGTCAAAGGATTGACCAAGTGGCAATGCCAAGTTGTGTTTCTTCTGAGGGGAACTATTGTATTATAAATATATATTTTGAATTTAGAGGCAGCTGTGGATAGAGCCGCTGGACCTGGCATCCAGAATACTTGAGTTCAAATATAGCTTCAATCATTTACTATCTGTGTGACCTTAGGTCAGTTGCTTAACTTCTGCCTCAGTTTCCTCACCTATGAAATGGTGATAATAGCACCTATCTTCCAGGGTTGTTGTAAGAATTAAAGGAGGGGTGGCACAGTTAGGTAGCAGCAGTGGATAGAGCTCCAGCCTTGGAGTCAGGAGGACCTGAGTTCAAATCCAGCCTCAGACACTTGACACTTATTAGCTGTGTGATCCTGGGCAAGTCACTTTTAATGCCGACTGCCTCACCAAAAAGCAAAAAAAAAAAAAAAATTAAAGAAGATAATATTTGTAAAGCGTTCAGCACAATGCTTGACACATAATAGGTATTTAATAAATACTTGTTCCATGTACCGTATGTTTTCTCTATGTCCTTACGGGCCCCTGTGGGTCTTATTCATCTTTTGCATTTTTTGTGGAATGGAATAAAGGCTATTCTCTACCTGTCATACATTTATTATCTTGAGTTTTTCTGTAGGAACTGGGGACCCATGTTTTCTACATTTGTGGGAACCTAGATATGAGTTATACCTAATCTGTATTTGGAGATTTTCCTGGAATAACCTCTAAGTGGAGGCACCAAGCCAAAGAGAAACAACCTGCTTGGTCAGATCCCCAGGATGCAACTTGGTCCACATCAGCCCAAAGTTGAAGGGGAGCTAGGCTATGAATTGCATTAATTCTAGAGAATGGACCAAGGGAGTCATATTTTTCCTTTGGCTTGTTGTTCTCACCCAGACTTAACTTCAGGAAAATCTTCAGATATTGCTTAAGCAGAGCTCATATCTAAGTTTCCACAAATGTAGTTAATGGAGGTCCCTAGCTCCCATACAGCAGAGCTCCCCAGAAATGACAATTATATGAACTATATTTATAAACATGTGGGAATGTTTCTATGAAATACTGGGTGAAAAAGCAAATTATATATATATATACACACACACACACATATAATATATACATATACACACATATACATATATGTATTATATTATTGTACATATATTATATACACACATGCACATACATATATCATATATACATAAATTCTATTTTTACATAAATGTAATAATGTGTTTATTTACATTTATATTTGTAAATATATTTATTTTATACATTTAATGTAAATTTACATAAATGTAAATATACATTATACATCTGATGTATCATGTACAATGATATATATACATTTATAAATGTAATAAAATGCTCTAAAGTTTACATAGCATCTTTTTTCATAACCTTGTTACAGAAGTAGCAAGTGCAAGCATTATCATCCCTATTTTACCAAAAAGGAAGTAAAGGCTCAAGAGGTTGTGACTGACCTAAAATTACATATCTGGTATTTGCCAGAGTCAGATATTCTAGCTCCAAGTCCATGGCTCTTTCTACTAGAGTTAGCAAGAGTGCCAGTATTTGTCATTATTATTTAAATAACTTGTTATCACCGTTCCTAAAGTCCTCCCCTGACGCCTAATGGCTGTCAGGGAGAGTGAGTCCTGGTAATGTCCTATCAAAAGGGAAAGGGCTCCTTCCAGCACTGCCTGTGCTGGGCTCTGTGTTCTTCCTCAGAGGAGCAGTCCAGCGAAGCGTGGACAGTGTCATCACTTAACACTGGCCATTAGATGTTCACTTCTTCCAGTTACTACAACGAATACATTTACTGAGGTTGCCTCGTATTCAGGTCTCCTGCTTCCAGTTCCAGAGCTCTGTCCTCTCCACCACCTAACAGTTGTAACAACGCAAAGATACTACAGATAAACATTTTTAAAAGGTCAGAAGAGCCTCTGAAGTAAGCAGTACGGGGGAAAGAGTTTTGACTAGAGCCAAAGGACCCCGCGATCATATAGGGTTGCAGTTTCCTCAGTTGTATATGGCCTCTGAGGTCCCTGCCAGCCTTAGAACTATCATGCTATAGAATTTTCTAATATTCAATGCTAATTTAATTTCCTGTAAAGTTGTATTTATGCTAACAATAGGAAGTCAAAATTCTAACTTGATACCTATATGTTCCTGCACATCCGGGCTCATAATCCTTGGCAATAATCATACTTAATACTAATAATCTTACATATAACTTGCCTCAGTAACCCAGTTATCACGATGAGAATACTTTAGGTTTGGAAATCTAATCGTAGACGTCCCGAATCAGGCTGATTAACAGCAGTCCATCATATTTATTAAATGTACTTGGTGAACAGTCGTGTTCCAAGCGCTACCTGGGGGTTCACAGGAAATATGAAGTAAATCTCTGAGTTGAAGAAGATGATATGTAAAATGAGAGGACAGAACCCACACCTACATGAGGAACAGAGAAACGCACATAATACACACCACCAGCAAATGCACACAAGCTGTGACACATCTACCCTCCAACTCTGAAGGCTACGATTTCTCCTTGGTACCAAGGGTTGCGAGGGGAGTGGCTGTTGCCAGGGGATGTTGGTCGGAGAGAGCCAAGGGAGCGCGCCCTCTCACGCTCGGTGAAGGCTGGGGTTGTGTGCTGGGGCGGGGGAGAGCAGGCGGGGAGTAGGTGGGGTGCAAAGCCTCAGACCCCTTCCCCGCAGCCCTCTCCCGCGAGGGAACCGGTGCAAGTCCAAGGTTAAAGTCCCCAGGAATCGTTTTCCGCGTCTGTCCCCCCCAAGTCAGTCCGTACTGGAGGCCGGCTCCAGTATGCTATAAATACAGCAGGCCACATGCTGTTGTGACATAATGTTCCCTCTACAGCCCAAGCTAGATAATATTAATTTGCCCTTTAAATGTCCCTAGCGGGAGCAGCAGTCCCCCAACCAGCTCAGGCCTCCCGGAAGCGCCTCGCGCCCCGTGCCCTCTACTGAGAAATGGGATGGAGAGGGTATCCAGACACCTGTCCAGCCAATACGCACGGAGCCAAATGGCCCGAGGGCCCTCCTCCTTCTCTCGCGAGACAGAGGGTCATATAAGGAGGTCTGGGGGAGAAGTGCTCTGCCCCTTTTGGATCGTGGTGGTGGGACACAGAAGGGGGTCAGGGCTTCTAGCTGGGGGGAAGGTTAGGGAGTAGTTCCCGAGAGATTGTGGGTGCGACCGAGTGACCATCATGAGTGACCAAGCGCTGAGCTTCCTGAAAGACTTTCTGGCAGGTGGCGTCGCCGCTGCGGTTTCCAAGACTGCAGTTGCTCCCATCGAGAGAGTCAAACTGCTCCTGCAGGTGAGGATTGGAGCCTGAAGGGTGTATGCGTGTATTCAGAAGGAAAGAAAGGGTCCTGGCCCGGGGAGACATAGTCGCCTAAGTAGCTTTGAAGACAGGTGCTTTGTCCTTGACCAGGGGTGAAGGTGGGACAGGCCTTGGGCCAACGGTCCGCAACCCAGGGGAAAGTGGGGGGTGCACAAATGAAGGGGTGAATGTCCTTTGAGAGCCTAGCCTAGGGGAAAAGACAGTACTCTCTCGGCAAAGCCGGGGAGGTGTGGATGACATTGCTGGTGTCAGGTGGCTCGTGCACTTAAGTGCCTAAATATGGAAAGCCTCCTGAAGATCGAGTTACATCGAGCAGGACTCTACTCTTCCCAAGTGGGGCTGTGCACAGAACCAGGAAAATGTGGTGGCAGCTTAGTTGCCGTCATCCAATCCCCCCTTTGCCTGACCAAGTCACGTCACTCCCACGCTCTGTTCCTGCCGCGTCTGCACCCTGCTTCGGCCTGCCTTAAAGGCAAAGCCATGCTGGTGGATGGAGCAACTCTAGGGTGGGTATTGTGGTATTGAGAATGTGGTATTGAGAATCAGGAGACCGAGTTCTGCTATTCACTCGATGATCTTGGACAAATTACTTGGGCTGTTTCCACATCTGTAAAAATGTGGTAGTTAGCTAGATCTCTTAAGATTTTTTTTTCAGCTCCAATGTTTTATGATTTGATCTTGTTGCAATTCCCATCCACGTCTAGTGTGACCTAGGCAGCATCCCCACTACTGCTTAGAAAGCTGGGATGCTGGACCCCATCGAGATGCACAGGCAGGAGGGTTAAGTTTCAAGGGGAGGGCAAGGAGGGAAGCATTGGCTCTGACCTATGAGGCCTGAGCTGAGAAACCCATAAGTCACAAATCAATTTTCTTTCTCCAATCCTTTCCTTTCCCTTTCCCTGTCTCTTCCATGCTCTAGGTCCAACATGCCAGCAAACAAATTAAAGCAGAGCAGCAGTACAAAGGCATAATTGACTGCGTGGTGAGAATCCCCAAGGAGCAAGGCTTCCTCTCCTTCTGGAGGGGTAACCTGGCCAATGTCATTCGTTACTTCCCCACCCAAGCCCTTAATTTTGCCTTCAAGGACAAATACAAGCAGATCTTCTTGGGGGGTGTGGATCGGCACAAACAGTTCTGGCGTTACTTTGCTGGCAACCTTGCTTCTGGTGGAGCAGCTGGGGCCACTTCCCTCTGCTTCGTCTACCCACTGGACTTTGCTCGGACCAGGCTGGCTGCTGATGTGGGCAAAGGTCTCTCCCAACGGGAGTTCAGTGGCCTAGGCAACTGTCTTACCAAGATCTTCAAGTCTGATGGCGTGAAGGGCCTCTACCAAGGCTTCAATGTGTCTGTCCAGGGAATCATCATCTACAGAGCGGCCTACTTCGGGGTCTATGATACAGCCAAGGGTGAGAGGTTAATGGGGATGGAATGAGAATGATCCAAGGGACTCCAAAGTTTGAGGGACTCCTTCCTCACTCACTTATCCTGGTGCTTCTGGTTGGGCAGGCAGGTACATTAAGAGGAGTACAATTCTCTCCTCTTTGACTGGTGGCCTCATTATTCCAAAAGGAAGGTTAACAGCTTTTTCAGGCAGTCTCTAATCCTTTCCCAGGAATAAACACTACCGTTTAATCTGTTCTACAAGGCCCTATGCAAGTCAGGTACAAGACCAGAACTGTGAACTTCCCTGTTAGAAAACTTCCACTTCCCAGGTGACTGCTTGATACTTAAAGAACGTAATAAGCTAAATTAGAATAAGAGGGCATGACGCAGGGAGTGGGGAGAGGGTGGTTTCCCCCCCTTTTTTACCAAAGTGATGAGTAAACAAATTGATGTGTTTGGCATTAATTATGCGTTTTGGCATTAATCTACAGGAATGTTGCCTGACCCCAAGAATGTGCACATTATAGTAAGCTGGATGATTGCCCAGACTGTGACTGCAGTGGCAGGATTGGTGTCCTATCCCTTTGATACTGTCCGACGTAGGATGATGATGCAGTCTGGTCGGAAAGGGGGTATGCTTTTCCTCATCTTACGGCATGCAAGGGGATGGGCAATTTCAGTAATCTTGTATGGCCAGCTTGTTTAGCCCCCAGCATCAGACAGTGACCCTCTGTGATTCATAGTTCTCTTTACAACCTAAAATGGCAAGAAGGAGAAGGGGACAGAGTGAGGTTATGGATTACAAACTAGCCCCTCTATTAACTTTTCCCTCATTTTGTTCTTAGAAAGAAATCAAAGATATCATCTTATCCTGAAGAGGGAAAAAAAACAGTATTTTAGAGTGGCTAGTGACTGTGGGAACATGGGGGAACTCAACAAAAGATCTCTATCAATACAGTTTTGGGGGCTACCACTTTTAGAACCTGTACAAGGTCAAAGTTGGGTAGAGCACTGAGTTGATTATTCAATTAACTAACATATTTTACTTCGATTATTTGGTCACCAAGTGCAACTGTCTCTTTAGTCTGAGGCAGTATGGCCAATCACCTCTGGGATTCAGTTTGAGATTAGCCTGTATCTATAAAAAAAGGTCCCTTTCTGTTTAAAGCTCGTCATTTTTATGGAATAATCTACATAAATATCTACTTCTCAATTCCATGGGCAGCCACAGAAAAGAATAAGATGAGAAAAAAATCCTTGCCTAGCAAGCTAAGGAAGATTTGGGCAACTGGTATTACACAGAGCTGGGGTATACAGTTCCAGCAACCTGAACTTCATGGAAGAGATCCAGGACTCAGTCACAAGACTTTTTAGAAAATAGGCCTTTATCAAGATTATAAACAACTTACCAATTTTTGTCTCCACAGCTGATATTATGTATACTGGAACAATTGACTGCTGGAGGAAGATTGCAAAAGATGAAGGAGCCAAAGCTTTCTTCAAAGGTGCCTGGTCCAATGTATTGAGAGGCATGGGCGGTGCTTTTGTATTAGTCTTGTATGATGAGATAAAAAAATACGTCTAATTCAATTAAAACTCTTAAGTTCATTGGTCCCAGATCCATTTTCTGATGTTACCCGTGGTTTAGTAGACATTTCTTAGGAAATCTGACAATGCTGATATGGGGTAACGCCAAAACTGACAAGGATATTACAGCATAAACATGTTTCAATCCACTGGACCACAAATGGAATTTTGCATTATACAGATTTAAAGTATACTAGCAAATATAAGGTAACATTTATTTCTATACTTCTACAATTAATTTGAGAAATGGTGATGATGACCTAATGTGAACCCTCAATAAATATTACTTAAGGCTCATTCTCTAAATTTTTACTTTATTAAAATCCTAAATATCAAACTGGATTAAAGGGCTCTAAATCCCAACTGCAGATCATATGAAAAAGTATCCCAAGTAAGGGTACCACTGCATATCATGAATTATTTGTAAATATTTTGTAACTACATTACAATGCTCGTAAACACTGGCCGCTACACTGAATAGGAAGTTCCAGTAGCAGTTACACTCAAGAACACAAACCCAATGTACAATCTGAGGAGAAATGAGCAGAGTGGAGGATTAGAAGGGAATGAAATGGATAGAAATTAAAAATGTTTCATATGTACTACATTATTTCAAGGATAGCTAGAGATATCTTGAGACAGTGGGCCTTTCTGTCAAGTAATTTTAAAACCACTGCATTAGGTAATATATATGACTCAGAAACAAAAGTAAGTCCAGCAAATCTACACATGGAAAGTAAGTTATGAGGTTGCAGAGGCCTTTTCAAATTGCATAATTTTCCATCTAAAACGAGAGTAGGGAACAGGAATGAGAATTATGCAAGTATCTGGGTTTTGCTCTACTACAATCAAGGCACTCACCCAGAATTATAAAGAAGGGACAAAATTAATTAGAATCTAGATATCAACTATCTACTGGAACACCTATGTGCCAAACTTCTAGATCAGCACCTAACAGCTTCTTTGCACATTTGGAAGTTTAAAGGATGTTTAACTGAATTCCAAAAGGAGCCAACAGCTAGATGGAGGAATAAAGATAAAAAGAACACAATTAAATGATAAATTAATGTGTGCAAGGGAGGTCAAAGAGAAGGCCAGTATGACTGTGAGTGGGGGAAATTAGAGAAGGCTGGAACTGAGCCTTAAAGGATAAGGAAAGGAAGAAAGGCCTTTGTAGATGTACAAAAGCTCACTGCTAGCTAATCTGATAAAATAACCTACATTGACTGCAAAGCTCTAAAGATTAGTTTTCTCAACACCACCTCTAATTTACCTTTTCCCTTCAAAGGAGGTTTTGTTGGCCAACTTAAGTGTGATGCTAAAAGAAAGCATTTCATGGCTTGTTAGGGGTATTGAGGAGCAAGTCTCACTGAAGAAGCATTTTTTTTTTCATTTTAACTATTAATAGACACAGCTAAGTCACTCTTAGCCCTAAGTCCAGGAGATGTAGAAGACAGACCAAACATATGCAGAAACATGAAAAGTCAGTCAGATCTAGGCAAGAGGTAGGCTGGTTCATGGCTTAAAATGGTGTACCTCATTTAAGCTGGATTCAGCTTAGCTACCTGATAAAGGTGAAGCTGCTTTTCACCAAGGGAAAGCTGAACCTTAACTTTGGATTGAATGTATGTTCCAGAACACATATTTTGAAAGATCATTGGGCCAAAAGTGGCATTTTCCAGACTGGGTCAAGATAAGATTTCAGGTAGGGTTAGATGAAAGCCTCCACAAAAACTTGAAAATCTCAAGCTTCTTTATTGCTTTATTCTCTCCTAATTACCTAGTAGGGCTTTTTAATCCCTACTGTGTCTCAGCTGAGTTAAAAGCTTCTTCTGTCCATTCCTGTGCCTAAATGTTACAGAAGCCATTTAAGAACTGGCAATAACAGATAAGAATTAAAGCAACTTTCTGGGGGTAGGGTCTTTGAGGTCTAATAGCAGAAGCCATTCTCATACAGTTAGTCTGAAAAGTTAGGCTCACCTAAAAAAACAATGTCTAACCAAAAAGTAAATCTTAATTTAATTTCTAATTTTCCCCCAAACTAATTTACAACAAAGATAACAACATAGGTTGTTTAAAGCTAACTGTTTTTCTCAACCATCTCTAAGTGACAGAAACAGTCACAGGACACCTCCTACCCATCATAAAGTATGCACTGCACCCAACCTTTAGTTTAATGAGAATATTTCTGACAATACTGTTAGAGATAATATCTTTAAGATATTTAGCATTTTTCCCCCAATGGCAACATTGCTTATGCTTTGTTTCTATGTACTTCTACTAAAAGCCATAAAACTGGCATTACACCTGCAAATGTAAAAGGAGAAATCTTGTAATTCCATATACGTGAAAAAATGATGTGGCTAGATGCTTAAAAAGTCTTTGAGAATATAAGATAATGTGTATTGCAGCAAAAACTACACTCTATTAAAATACTGAAGATGTTTATAATGGCAAGCCTATCTTTTAAATGATCTAATTTAGTTAATATATTGCTCAAGATGATTGTCTTATTTTCAAGAAAATGCTGGGACATTTATTCCTGTAAAGCTATTTGCGTCATCTTGGTTTCACTCTATTCAAAAGAAAAAATTTCATTTGAACTTACTCTTTCTTCATCATAACAAATCATTTTTCTAGTGTTTCAAATGGGAGCAATATATTTTACGATAGCTAAGATCAAAAACAAAAAATCATGATTTCCAATAAATTTTTTCTAAACATTTAAAAAAATCTATAAAGATCTGAAAGCTAAGAAGGTTGCCAGTTTCCTAAATTACTGTGCCAGAACTGTTTGACAGTCCTGTTTAAAAAATTCACAGAAATGAAAATTATCCATTATATACTTCATTATTTCCTCAAAGTAATTTATATGACCATATATGACCATGGGTCTTTCCTCCCCCACAAATCATGTACAATCACTTATAGACTAAGATAATAAACTTAAACACTTGCCATATAACATCACACATTCCATGACCTCCATCATTAAAACATACGAGTAAAACCAGTGATTATCAAATCAAACTTTTGGATTATTTTCTATTCTCCCTTGTTCAGTCAGCATTCGTAAATGGAGGTGATAGAGTTGAATGAAAGTATTTCTCCTACAAGCAGCTCTCTGTTCGAGGAATGCCTGAAGGAGCTTCTTTGAAATCAGAGATTGGTGGAGCACTGTTTAAAAACCAGTGCCAAATTCAAACAAACCAAACTGAACACTTCATTTGGAGTATTAGCTAACAATGTTTTTGTGGAGACTATAAAAATGTTCGACCATGCCTTGTACTTCCCAACAAGGGAAATGGATCTCTCCTACAAGAAATAGTTCTCAATGGCTCAGAACTTAGGGTAGAAGCATTTTGCTTCTAAAGAGACCAACAGTCAGGTTAGCATCTGACAAAGATTAAACCAATTCTAAATAAGTGTCTGGGCTAATAATCCTAGATCTAAGGAGTAAGCCACTTAACCTGAACCTTCATTCTCCATTCATGAAGTGAGGGGATAGACTAAGTGATCTCTAAAGTTACCTTTCAGCTCTAGGGTTTGGGAGTGTGAATTCTACTTGCAAGTTCTTTCTAGGATTTCAGAATCTTGAAATGACAATTATATGTCTCATATGAGACTGAACTGGCTCAAATATAAAGCAATTCTAAACATACTATGGTCCTTCATGTTTACACTAGGCAATCTACTTATCCTTTCGTTAAAGTTCTACCTTACACCCCCTTCAAAGTACCTTTACTTTTATACCCAGGACATTCCCATTCTTCCTCAAAACTTGGGCCATTTCTATGGCACAGCTGAGTGACCATGGCAATCCAGTTCTATTCATGTGGAGATAAAAATAAGTATGAACAGGACTAGTGACCTTCCCAATTTTTCTCTCTTGTTCTTTTCCTTTGGGTCCAATCCCTGTTAAGCCCAATACTCTGTTGATCCCTTCATCTTTCCCACCAGTGAAATCTAGAGCCGTTAAGTTGGTACCTAAGATGACCATGTAGCTTTATTATTCAAGCTATGAGTAATGCACTCTTCCGACACATTTCAGTAGCATTTCAAAGACCTGAAAGATAGCACAAATATTTAATAGATGCATACAAATTACTCTTGGAGACTAATGTAGTTATGAACATAATAGACTTTATATTAATTTCCCTTCCCCTTACAACTTGCAAAAGCAACATACAAAAACTGACAATTTTTATTACTGAATGTCCAACATGCTGTAAAAATTCAGCCTATCTTATTTCCCCCCAAAGAAAGTTGGTATACAAACATTAAAAGTGCAAATTTAAAATGTGATCTTGGTATTACATACAGCTGCATCTCATTTTATAAGCAAAGTATTAAATGGCAAAATAGTTTGATCACCAGAGCAGCACATTAAATAATTATGATAGCAGCATCCAATGAACATTACATCCCCCATGAAAGAAACAGGATAATCTCAGAGCCAGTTTGTCTTCATATCACTGTTTAAACCCTGAACCCACCCACCACCCCTTCCCTCCCCACAAAACTTAAACAAACTGTTAATAGATGCTAAGGATATGAATTGATACACAAGTCAGAAAATTCAGAATCAATGTTTAAAATAACATAGTTTGTCTTACTGCCTAGAGTGCTGAAGAAATTAACTTGTCTTGTTGACCATATGTAGTACATTTCAAAATACAGCAAGAGCTAAAACTGGAGAATAAAAATCAACTTCCTTATTTTTGTGGCCACGGATCACAACTCTCTCAAAAACAGATTTGGCATTTAACACAGAACCCTCCCAATCATTCTGCAGAGAGGCTGAGAAGGCAAGTAGAGAAACAGAATAATAACAATAACAGCAGCATTGCATTTTATCTTATTAAAGAAAAGCCTTTAAATAAGGACAGAAAAAGTTTCTAATTACAATCTACCTTTTATTACCTATACCTATATTAAAACCCATTTTTCACTACCAATGTTAAGACAATTTGCACTATTAAATAAAAGCTTGACAAAAATTACAACTCCAGGGTATGGCCCCAAAACAAAAAAAAACAAAAAAAAAAAGCACTAACACTTAAGAACAAGGATTTATATAGCACTATTCCTCATACCCTATAAAGTACTAGCAGCAACATCAAGGGCTACTATAAAATGTAGAGTCCTTTACCAAGTTCTTCCTTAATTCATTTAATAATAAATAAGAACATAACATACTAATAATGTTGCTTCCTAAAATAGATTGGTCTGATGCCTCAGGATCTGCTCCTTAGCCTTTCATAATGTCAATGCCATTTTATTGCTAATCAAAAAAAAATACCTGCTTTGCTGCTTGTTATATAAGACTAATGTGGATGCCAATTTGGCCTTTAAAGAGTGCCACAAAAGCAGAAGAATCGAATTCCAAACTCTCCCTCATTCCCTCATTAGCAATATCACTACTCAACTGGAAAAGGTGCAAAAAGGTGGAAGAAGAGTTTATACTCTGTACTCTCTGATGTTTGTTCACAGTTCAGAGGGAAGAGGAATAGATCAAAGTTTTAAGATCTAACTCAGGGTACCTAAAAAGAATCAAGTTGACTAATAGGATGGTCCCACTGTAAGTGTCTATCATTCTACCCATAATTCTCAGACCAACTTAACAGCTCCATCTGAGAAAAAAAAAAAAGAAAGAAAATTTCAGTATATGTTTCTTAATGAAAACCATCACCTAGAAAATGCTGCAATTATAAATTCAAGCCATAAATCACACTCATATTAACATCTTGAAGCAGACAGAAAAATGGAATAAGTAAATTTAGGAGCTAAGCTCATGGTTTAAAGTTTACTGGAAAAAATGAGAACTAAATAGCTAAAAATCCTGGGTCCAAAATATAGCAATATCACCATTCTTCCAGCATGACAATGAGTTTTGTTAATATGATAAGAAAATTTACATGTACACTACTATTCCTGTATTAAATGTGTGTGTGTGTGTGTGTGTGTATGCATATATACACATCTCAGATAAATACATCCACACAGGAAACACTGATTTGACATGAAACTGTCCTTTGGAAAGTAAATATTGCATCAAGTTACAATAAATTAAAACACAATGCTGTATATTTTAATCACTTAAAATAGGATTACAGACTTTTGCACACAGAATTACAGTAATCTACAAGAGCACTTCAATAGAAATCTGAATAACAATGTTCAAAATAAAATGTCTGGTTTTCTTTTACAACCAAGCAGTACGAACATTAGGGGGTTTAGGTCTCAGCAGAGGGCCACTGGATGCATCAGAAAGTGATCTCTCACTCTTCCGGCTAAGTGCACTTGTAGCACTAGATGACCTGGAGGCTCCTCCTGATAACACACAAACAAGTATGGGAAATTAGCCAATCACTTAAAATCTGGTACAGGCATCTGAGGTTCATTTTCTATCTTTCATCTGAAAACATTTTTTAAGATTAAAACATGTAAAAACAAAAAAACAAAATTCTCCCTTTCTTTTTCTTCAGGATGATACCAATTTTTGGGAAGTGAGGGCAATTTGGAGGGAGAAAAGGAACAAAACAGCTATAATATAGTGGAAAAAAAAAACAACAGATGTGGAGTCAGCCAAGAGATATGGATTCAAGTCCTGGCACTGCCACTTACTGGATGTGACCATTTATCTTGTCTGGGCTACAGTTTTCTCATCTATAGAATGGAGAGCTCATTATCATCCCCTTCCAACTCTATTGACTAAGTTCCCAAGATCCATTTACTACACACAGACACCATACATTGTACTACTCTAGGCCCTGAGGAGATGATAAGACAATCTATTGTGAGGATCAAATGAGAGTACACATGAAAAGTGATCTGTAAACTATATCAATGATGATGATGATGATGATAATGATGGATAGTGAGATTAAAGGCTATTAGACATGTAAGTCTAGCACGAACAGGAAGACAGAACATACAGCAGGCTAAAAAGGTTAGATGGCACCAGATTATAGAGGGCCCTTAGGTGTTCTGAGTATTTCATGAGATAAAGCTTTATACTTTATCTGAGAGTTAACAGGAAGCCACTGAGATCAAGTATAACAAAGTGGGGAGGGGATTCAAGGTAGGAAGATTCAATGGTATTCCTAGAGGTTCTTTTACTACCACCACAAGATATCACATTAAGTTGTACAGATACACATTAAGTTGTAACTAACAGACAGAATCAGAAAATTTCAGTGTTGGGACTCTCAGAGTCTACCTAATCTAACCCACAGGAGAATCTCCTCTGACATAGGGTCATCCAGCCTGTGAATGAAGACCTCATGAGGGAGAATTTACAACTAATAATAGCTGAATTTGCAAAGCACTTTACATATATTATTTCATTTGAGTCTCACACAAACCTATGAGGTTAAGTACTAGAAATATCATCTCCATCTGCATAATAGGAAAACTGGCTCAGGAAATTTAAAGGATTTGCCTGTGGTCAATGTTAGAGGTGGATTAGAATTGAGTCTTTCTGATTCCAAATCCATCTTCTGATAATATTAGAAAATTCCATTTTTAGAAAGCTTTTCTTTACATCGAGCTTAAAGCTGCCCCTGCAATTTCCACCCATTGTTTTTAGTTCTGCCTTCTAGGGCCAGCAAGACAACTCAAATCCCTCTCCTGAATAAAAGCCCTTCAGAGATCTGAAGGCAGTCCACTTGGGGAGCTTCCATTCCCCAAATCCTAAGATTCTCTTCTTCAGGCAAAAGGTCCACAAGCTCCTTAAACTAATTCTTAAGTAACATGATCTTTAGGCCATTCACCATCTGGCTGCCTTCCTCTGGAAACTACAATTTACCAAGTTCCTTTCTATGTCATCTAGGCAAGAAAACAATACACCAGATATGCCCTGATGAGGGGAAAGAATGGTCAAATTATCAGCTCCCTAGTACTGGACAATACTGCTCTCTCTTCATGCATCCCAAGATCACATGAGCTTTTAAAGTTGCTAGATAGCATACTGTTCACTCTCACTGAGTTTACAGTCAGTCCACTAAAACCCCTACATTTTTTTTTTCAGATGTATTACTATCAAGCCAGGCCTCTCCCATCTTGCATTTGTGAAGCTGATTTTAACTCTAGTATAAGCCTTTTCTTTTGTTTCTAATAAATTTCATCTTCTTAGATTCAACCCAATGTTTTGGCCTATTCAGATATTTTGAATCTCGAGTCTGCCATAAAACTCATCAGTTATCCCTCTTAGCTTTGTGTTATTTGCAAAAATATGAAAAACATGCCCTCTACACCTTCATCTAAGTCTAAATAATACAAGAGTCATAACATAAGTCAAGATTTCATTAGGGCACTTCACTAAGCAAGTTAAATTTAGGCTACTTACTTATTCTTTTGGTCAAAGCATTCAACTTGTTTCAGACTCGTTTAATGATACTATACCTAGGTTTGCAACATGGTTCTTACACTTAACTTTTCGGTGCCTCAGTTTCAGCATTTGTCCAACTAGAAATAACATTTCTAGCACTTATTTCACAGGTTGTAATGAGGAAAGCTTATCTTAAATCTTAATGTACTATATAAATATGAGCTGTGTGCTCAAAGAAGCCCAGTTTCCCTATGAAGAGGAGAAAACCCACATGAGATTACAGGAGGTTAGCAATAACTCTAGCTAAGAAGAATCTTTGACTTGGAGACCACAATGGCTATGAATTAAGTGCTCTTATGTCAAACACAATGAAGTTGGGATTTGGATCTACTTAGCTTAGCATTTCCACCTGTTCCACCTAATGGCTTCCATGTAATAGAAATGGATCTTGGCATTACAAAGTACTCTCCTAAATGAAATGTTCACAATCTGTACTCATGTGAATTAAATGTCAGGCATGCCAAAGAAAATGACGTTGTATTCCAAGTGTAAGCATTTTAAAAGGCCTCTGCCCTTATTATGTTAAAGAAAACCAGTTACATGCAAAAAGGTTAGGTTCAAAGGCACAAACGTGCAAAAAGCAAACAGCAATATACTTACTTAGTGGACTAATTTGACTAAAAGTAGATTTCACTCGTCTGGAGACTGGGGATGCATTTAGGTAGCCCATATGGCGATGATAGTCCATCAGTTGTTCTGTGCGTTTCATACCAACTGTTGGCTTCACGGCCTCAAGTCTTTTCAATAAAGCCTTCATTAAAGAAAATCAATTTAAATGTTTAAGTTAGAAGGAAGAATTAGAAAGACCCTCATCGAGAACTCTGAATTAATATTTGTTATGTAAGTTATGTGGAAAAATATTGTGGATCATTTGAAAACAATCCTAACCTTCTAACAGTTTCAAAGTATGCATATATTAAGATATCAGACAAATCTAGAGTTTATACCCTATTAACTTAGAAGCCAATTTGCCAGCTATTTCTATTTTGATATGGCCATACTGGCACTTAATTCATTAATTTGGAAGAAAGTCTTATGGCATAGCAGAAAAAGAGTTGCTTCAGAACCAGGAAGACCTGGGTTCTCACCTTTGACGTATCATCTGTGTGACCCTAGGCACATCATATAACCTCTCTATTTCTCTAAGCATCTAAGACTGTAAATTGTAGAGAATAGTCACTGGAGGTTCCCTACACCATATAATGACAGGCCTGGGACACCTGGCCCTCTCAGCCTCCCTCTCTCTCTGCAAGCATAAATGATGTTCAAAGATCTGGATTTCTGATGATTCGTGTGCTCCCTCTACCAGTGCAGACTATAACCCACCCTCTCTAACCAGATGGTCTGAGTTTGCTGTGACCAAGAAATTAACTACAATGATATGTCTACCCAACTCAGCTAAGTTAGTCTTTGCAGTCTGACACAAGGTCCTTGGTCAGAGCCTTTTTAGCATGACAGGGCCAGTCACTGCTTGTGCTCTACTGCTGTAGTTTTTGCGAACCAAATCACCGCCCCACTCTGATGAAATAGCATGAGAGTAGGTCTTTAGTGAAGTAGTGAAATGTTTGATTTCCCTATAGAAACAGTATTATAATAGGGTATTAAATTTCTGATCTAAAGAGTGATATCAAACTTTTTATTAATATAACCACAAATACTATACTTAATCAACCATGAATGACATACCTAGACAAAAATATAGTGCAAATCTTTCTAAAAGGACTATATAGTAGTCATGTAACACTATATTTAATATGACATACTATATTGTCCTTGAAATGTTTGCTTTATTTTTCCTGCAACCAATCAGAAGGAAAAAAAAATCTTTCATCTAGGTTTAGAAATCAGAAGTTTCTTTGGGTATCTTTTAATAGTCACAGGTATCCTTACATGCATATTTTTACAGCTGCTCTAGTACCTTTCATAGGTATCTTTAGTCTTTTGGGGAAACCTAAAACTGATTTGATGTCCTCATTATAAATTATCCTATACCAAGTGGTTGGTTTCCAAGGATTTGAAAGCAAAAAATACTTGTTCTTTCTTTCTATGAGAGGCTTTTCTAAGATCAGCTCTGCACATCACCTGCTTACTTGTAAACTCAGGCTTTTTACTGATGCTTATTATAATGGCAGCCTATATTTCTAAGTTTGGTAACTTCATAACTATCACTCTCTGGATTCCCTATCTCTGCTTTCACAACAGGGCAAAGTGATAGGATACAGAATTTTCCCTCTTTATGTTAAATTACAAGACAGTGACAGTCAGAAAAATGAAGGTGCCTACAATTTATCTGTTAAAATCAGAAGAATAATTCTTTCACTACTTACTTCACAAGGTCAACATGAGGAAAGTACTTGGTAAATACAAACACACTGCACAAATGCAAACTATTATTTCAAATAAAATTTTAAAGCAATTTCTGAAAGCAAGAAGCATGTCAACTGTCACGGTCATTGTTAGAACATGGACACATCTAAAGAAACACTTTGGCTCAGCTTCCCAAATCACATGTGCCTACCCCAAGTGTCAGTCTGTTTGTCAGATGGAAATGGCAAGCCCAGCAAAAAGTCTAAGTATGTGCTAGAGTCAAAAATAGCCCTTGCTGAAGTGCTGATTATAATTTAAACACTAAAGCTGATTTACATAGGTTTTAATACATCATAACTTCTAAGAATTTGTGTCCATAACACACTAAAATGGGAAATCACTGTCACGGAGCACTTGACTATTACCGTTTTGCATTATTCTCAAGTTCTTAGCTGTATAGTAATCTCTAGATCATAAGCTCTTTGAGAGCCTTAACTGTCTTCGTGCTTTTCTGTACTCCTTCAGTGCCTAGCACAATACTGAGAACAGAGCTGGCATTCAATAAATACCAGCTGACTGACTAGGAAAAAAATTCTGCTTGGTTCCAAGTTAAATGTTCTACAAAAACTTTCACCTGTTACTCAAATCAGGTTCCTGTTTTACTGAACCAATCTGCCTAATTGTTTTCTTTTTGTCTGGGAACATACACTCCTAGCTAGAAAGGCAATTTATCTTTCTGAATATGTCTGTTTCTGACTTAATGGCAAGACTCAATACTGGTGAGCAGCTTTTAAGAAACTGAGTTTTTCACTGTTCCTGAAGTGATACAGTATGGACCAGAGAACTAGGGCTGCTCTGAGGCACCATTTATCCTTCCAGTGGAAGGTCAGAGAGTAGAAAAATCGAATAATGAGGCTGAATAGTACATCCTATTTTAAGTTCAAATGAAGAAACTAATCAAAAGAGAGAACTCTTTCCTCTGGGAAAAAACCCAGACTAAAGGTACAAGGGCCTTTTCATTTTTACACTCATTCTTCCCTTCCTTTAGTCTCTTCTCACACTGAACTCTGGATATTATTACTCCATCCAGACCAAGGATCACTACCTCCCTCTTAGAAGCTCCACCTTTACTTCATTCACAGACAAAGTGAAAGTGACTTGCTCAGGGTCACTGATAAATTGAAAAAATACTAGCACTTATCTATGAAACACTGATTTCAAGTTAGAGGAAGTATAAAGTGGGAATAAACAAAGTAATCGCGTTGCTAACTTTTCCTCTGAATCAGGATCATTCTTTTATTTTATACACACATGCATGGAGATGTGTGTGTGAGAAGTTAATTTCAATCTTTAAATTTTCTTTCAGTATTTAATGAAGTTACATTACAATGTCACAAGAGAGAAATGACACAAGAACAATAGCTCCCTCTACTGGTCAACATTACTATTTGCTCTTACTTGATTTTATATATCTACTAGCATAGTGCCTGGCACATATTAAGTGCTTAATAAATGCCTTAATATTTTTAATGCTCTAATTTAAAAAAAAAACTTCCTTCATTTATCCTGCCCTATGATGGGGGAAAATACTACTTATCCTTTCTTGAAAATGATCAAGAAATCAATTCTACTTAGGCAATGTGTCTTTATTACCTTCAAATATAAATAGCAGCTTTTTTTCTTCACCAACCCACTCTACTGAAAATCTTGTTCCAAAGGCACGTAGCACTTAGTGCAAAATGTGCTAGAAATATACTGATTATAACTAACTGGAAAGCATAAAAGCAGGCTCTGAAGTTCTCAAAGGATCAACATCTATGCTTCAATACTAGCAAAGCCATGGCCTTTACTGGCATATTCTGGGTTTCAGTAGCAAGGCAATGATTCAAAAGCAGCAAAACTAGGGAAGCAGGAGCTCCAGCCAGTACCTCTTAAAGCCCCAAGGCTCCTTTCCTGTCCATACAGTGAGATACTCAGTATAACTGCCTTTCCTTGCTATTCTGCTTCCACCAACCCTACAGCCCTCAAAATGTTCTTGTCCTACTAAGGAAAAAAAAAAAGATGAAAAAAGATGAAGAATCAGAGGAAAATAAAAGCTTCTAGGTCCGCAATAAAGTCTTTAGTGATTCAATAGATCATAAACTCCTGGAAGTATCTGGGCAGACTACATCATTGGTATCTCTTTATCATCTTTGTCTCAACCTCAGCTCTAAGCACAGTGCTCTATAGGCTCAATAAATGAATACACATCTTAAAACATTTAATTGTTGCAATCAGTTTTTGAAAAGAATAACCTATGAAATTATTTTGAATACTTCTGCTTCGTACAGCAAGTACCATCAATTCTAACTTCCATGGAAAGGGTTTTTTTCTTTCTTTCTTTCTTTCTTTCTTTCTTTCTTTTTAAGATACAAAACATTTTAGTCATCTGGACTTTACCTGAAACAGAAGAGGCTTTCAGCATAATGGAGACATGGATCTGGAGATATTTTTTAAAAAGCTGGAATGCATATACACAGGAACAGCAATATTGTAAGATGACCAACTGTGACGACTTTGCTATTCTCAGCAATACAATGATCCAAGACAACTGTGAAGGAGTGCTTTTTTAACTTTCCTCATTTTTGCTGGGGCTTTTATTTTGGTCTATGTTTTCTTTTACAACATGACTAATATGGAAATATGTTTTGCACAACTACATATGTATAACCTATATCAAATTGCTTGCCTTCTCAGTGAGGGGGACAGAAAGGGAGGTGGGAGGGAAGGAATATGGAACTCAAAATTTTAAAAATGAATGTCAAAATTTGTTTTTATGTGTAACTGGAGAAAAATAAAATGCTAATTTTTTTTAAAAAGATGGAATGTACCTGAAAAGTCACTTATTCCAATACCTCCTCAATTTATCAAGTAGTGACTTCCCCCCAAGGAAATATAATTAAGAAGTAGCAGAGTAGGGACTCAAACCCAGGCCTTTTGACTCTAAATCAGGAGGTTTAACAAATTCATGATGGGAACCAGGCTATCTTAGGGCTTAAGATAGATAAGAAGGGATAATCTGGACATAAACCCTCATACTACCTAGAAGTTCAGAGAAGAGATAGGGAGGATCCCACGGCTAGGGACTCTATAGTTGCATAGGGAGCTCCACAAGGAAGCCAAATTTTAAAAGGGCAGGTAATGTTGAGGGGTGGAGGGGAAGGCCAGTCCTGTGTCCTGGTACTCTGAAGTCTCTTGCGAGTGTTTGCCCACCGACAACAAAGACTGATGAAAGTTCTGGAGAAAGCTGGAACTGTGATCTTGTTTGAGGTTCCTAATGACTTCAGCAGGTGGTTCAGAGGGTCCAGTGTGCCAAGGGGAAATCAGGCTTTTTAAACTGGGATACAGGCCTGGAGAAGTCAGGTACAGCTCTGTTTAGTTTGGCCCATTTCTCCTCGAGTTGGTTCCCCACCCCTTGATGCCTTACTTTTCTAAATTCTACAGCAGAACTATCACCTTAAGTATTCAATAAAAGACAAGGTAACTACCTGTCAAGGATATCTATAGAAAGGATTCCTGAATTGAAAGGGGGGCTATTGGAAAAAATCATTAAGAGCCCTTTCCACGACTAACACTGTAAGAAAATTAATATTTAGTGTTTGCTATAGCTAAGTTTGTTTTAGGTGATACAGAGGAATTCTATGCTTTCAGACATGACATCTACGTACCTCAGGCAAACTCAACTAACCATGGAATCCCAGGATTTAGAACTGGAAAAGACCACAGAGATATGTAGAATAATCTTTTCATTTTATAGAGGAGGATACTGAATACTAGCAAGGTTAAGTGACTTGTCCAAGGTGGTCACAGGAACCAAGTGGCTGAGCCAGGATTTGAATCCAGATCTTTTTACTCCAAATCCAATGCTCTTTCCACTCCAGCTATTCTCCGTCCTTGACTTTGAACTCTCCCACCTCCATATCTTTACTTAGCTCAGGGGTGAGGAACCTGTGGCCTTGAGGCCACATGTGGCCCTCTAGGTCCTCAAGTGCAGCCCTTTGACCAAATCCAAACTTCACAGGACAACCCCCCCCCCCTTAATAAAAGGATTTGTTCTGTGAAGTTTGGATTCAGTCAAAGGGCTGCACTTGAGAACCTAAAGGGCCACATACAGACTCAAGGTCACAGGTTCTTCACCCCTGACTTAGTTTATTCCCTGGATATTGAATATTCCTCTTCCCCTCCTCCAATCTTTGTGGAACTAGTTGTATTTTAGTTTGACTTTAAAGGATTTTTAAGACAAAATAATCTCGATTTACTAGGTCAGTAATAATCTTCCCCTTCATACCTCATACAACACTGTAACTTCCTAAGACGTTTAATTATCACACACATTAAAATCCATATTACATGACATCTAGGCGACACATATTCCTCCTTAAAACTACTAGGAATTCTGACAGCTACTATAAGCTCTATGCTAATACACTTTTACTTTCAAGGGCAGACTTGGCATTAGACTGGTACTTCTAGGTTGATCTTTCGAGTGAAAAAGTTACTCTGCATGAAATGCAACAAATCCATTAAAGTGGTAGTCAATGCACTATCACAAAAATCAAATGGTAGGCTCCAGCCAAAAAAGTACATAGTCCACAACCTGCTATCATAATCTGAGACTGAGATGTGGTTATAAAAGGTTCTGGACTAGGTGCTAGAAAACTTGGGCTTTAGTTCCATGATCTGGGGCAAGTCCCCTGTGCTCTGTGTCTCAGTTAACTTCACCTGTAAAATAAGGGGGCAGTCTAATATTGCAGTGACCTGTAAGGGGCCCCTGTCTATGAGCTGAATAACTTTTAAAGCTTACCAATAACGTTTGTCCAATGGATAAAACTGTCTATTAATGTCTATTCCTGTTTTCAGATAACTAAGAAGAAAAAAAGCTACAATTTACTTTCTTTTATCAAATTATCTTTTGAATAGAAAATATGCACGCATTTTCTTCAGTACCTCAATGATCTGGGGGTGACTTACCAAGTTCTCTCTCTCAATCCTTTGCTGTTCCTTCTGTCTGTTGAGAGCACTGTGGTACAACTTCGGTGGTGGAACAACAGGTTTCCTAGGAATGGTACTCTTAACTCTTGGTTTTTCAGCCTGTTTGGATAGTTCTTTTAGCAACCTTTGATTTTCCCGATCAATCTGTCTTACCTCCTCCTTTGTAAAAGAGTAGTTTTTCTTAGGTGCTGGAGAAGGTCGATCAATAGCAAATTTTTGCTGTTCTTTTTTGTCTAACTGCAAGAAAGCTTTAAGAAATGAACAGAAAATCCTCAGATAAAATTCATAAAGTAAAACTATAATATCATTGAAGTTTCAAAAAATATGTATATATTTTTGCATGATTCTTTGCTCCTGATATTTAAAGATATTGTTAACTTTTTTTAATATTTAATTTTTTCCTTTATTATTTCCTTTGATGAACTCTTTACTGATAACTGAATTATACATTTGAATCATTTTAACTAGACAGACACAATAAACACACTTTAATAATTGAGCCAGATGGCACACAATCTGTTTTCAATACCTTTCAAAATATATAGTTTTCAATAGACCATTATTTAATAGACCTTCAAAAACAAAAATAAACTCTTCACTAGCATACTCCCAAGTTCTACTTATATGAAAAAGCTGGCAAATAAGCACTTAGGAGGCATGAAAAAATGTGTCTTTTGTTTTGTCTGCTTCAGGTGGTTCTAGATTTAAAGTACTGGGTGTTCACATACCAGATCCCCAAAGAACAGAAATTCCATTTGTTCCCACTGGCAGTCTTTAAGGTACTACTTATTCTGCATAAGTGTTAAATACTTAATTTAAGAACTCAGTGCATTAGAGAAAGTCTTACTTCTCCACGTAGTAGTCATAAAAGAGGAAAAGTGACCCAGGGATCATAAGAAAAATTTGAGAATATGCTAGAATAGCTCTTGAACTTTAAAGTGCAAGGTATAAAACCTACTTTGAGAGGTCAAAGGGAACTGCTACAGGCAACACTGGTTTGACTATCAAGGCAAAAAAAAAAACCTCCAGCTTATCTTGAAGGTACAAAGCTCACTTAATATTTCACTACACAAGTATCACCAGTAAGTAAATTTCCAAAACATAAGCAGTATACAAAATACACATTTGTCTTTAAAAACCAAATCTTTCACCACCTATTAAAAATAGAAATTAGAATGAGTTAAAGCTATCAAGTAAGAAAATTCTTTGTTGTCTCGATTTCTAAAATTTCTATTGATACATTTAGTTCTTATGACATTTCCCAATTACAAATTTCTTGACAAGTTATTAAAAATTTGCACTTGTGAAAAAGACATTAAAATAGACATCTGAAAGGGGCAGGTAGGTGGCGCGGTGGATAGAGTACCGGCCCTGAAGTCAGGAGGACCTGAGTTCAAATCCGGCCTCAGACCAAACACTTGACACTAACTAGCTGTGTGACCCTGGGCAAATCACTTAACTCCAACTGCCTTTAAAAAAAGAAAACCTGATAACTGAAACAATATATTGAATATTTTGAAGATTTAAGTTCTTTATCAAAATAAGTTCTGAATTCTAGAAGATACCTAACACATTAGCTTTTCAGAATTCTGAATAAGAATATTACTAATAAAGGGGCAGCTAGGTGGTGCAGTGGATACAGCACTGGCTGTGGAGTCAGGAGGACTTGAGTTCACATCCAGCCTCAGACACTTGACACTTACTAGCTGTGTGACCCTGGGCAAGTCACTTAACCCCATTGCCTAGTCAAAAACAAAAACAAAAAAAAGAAGAATATTACTAACAATAGCTAACAATAAATTCCACGAGACATTTTGTGGAGCAGTATACTAAATGCTTATGATCTGCATATGCAAAAACTACATATAAATACAAGGTAGCTGTAAAAAGACACGTACAAAATAGATGGAGGAACTGGATCAGGGAAGGCTTCCAAAAGAAAGCAGCGTTTAATTGGGGCTAGAAAGGGCAAGTAAGAATCCGACAGGCCAAGAAGGGGAGGGAGAATATTTAAGGCTTAAAGAGGTGTACGCAAATGCATGGAGGTAAAATAATTCAATGCAAGTAAGGATTATTTTTCAGGAGTCCATGGATAGATTTAAGGAAGTTCATGAACTTGGACAGAAAAAAAAAATCCCATCTCTATTTTTGCTAACCTTTAACTGATGCTGAGCATCTCCTTCAAATACTTAAAAACATTCCAAGAAGAGGTTCATAGGTTTTACCAGACTGCCAAAGGAATTCACAACACAAAAAAGGTTAAGAATCTCTGATCTATTGTGGTGGCAAAGAATTGGAAACAAAGGGGAAGCTCATCAAACGGAGAATGGCTGAACAAGTTGTGTATATGAATGCAATGGAATACTATTATTCCGTCAGAAATGATGAACTGGTGGACTTCAGAAAAACCTGGAAAGACTTACATGAACTGATGCTGACTGAAGCGAGCAGAACCAGAAGAACATTGTATACAGTAACGGCAACACTGTTCAATGACTAACTTTCACAGACTTGGCTCTTCTCAGCAATGCAAGCATCTAAGTCAACTCCAAAAGACTCAAATACTGGAATCTGAATGCAGATCAAAGCATACTATTTGATCTCTTTTTTTCTTTTGTTTTCTTTCTTCTCTCTTGTGGTTTCCCCTATCAGTTCTAATTCTTCTTTACAACTTGACTAATGTGAAAAAAGGTTTAATATGAATGTATATGTTGAGCCTATATCAATTGACATGCCATCTTGGGGTGGAGGGAAGAGGAAAGATGGGGAGAAAATTTGGAACTCAAAATCTTATGGAAGTGAATTTTGAAAACTAAAAATAAATAAATAAATTTATTAAAAAAAAAAAGAACCCCTGGTCTAAAGGGTCAACTAGGTGGAAGAGATCAATATGAGACAGAGTTGGAAAAGCAGAATAATTCCAGACCATGAACAGCCTTGAATGCTAGCCCAAAGAGTTTAATATTTTAACTTGGTATGCAATGATGAATAAATGAAGTTTTTGAGTGAAAGAAGGATATGAGTAGATAGCTATGTGTGAAGATTAGTCTGGCAGTGACCAGATGAACTGACTGGAGAGGAAGAGAGGAGAGCCAGGAAGACTATAGTTTTAGAGGTTATTGAAACAGTACCTAAAGGGAAATAATGTGGTGAGGTACAGTAGAAAAAGAGGAAGGTAATAGAGATAGTGCAGGGAAAGAATGGACAGATTTTTGAAAGTCAGATTTGTTATTAGAGATGAAGGAAAAGAAAGGCTCAAAGATAATACCAAGATTTCGAATACTGGAGATTGGGTCAGCAGTGGTATCACAGAGAAAAAACAGTGACATCAGAAGAAGCAGGTTTAGGAGAAAAATAATGTCTGCTTTTGGATGTACTGAACTCGAAATGCCAATGGAACAGCAGGAAGAAAGACCCTATAGGCACTGGAGGCTCATCTAAAGCACAGAGAAGGTGAAAGCTAGAGATAAGATTTGGGAGAGCTCATTGACATAAAGCTTAAAATTGAACTTGATGTAATGAATGAGACTGTCAAATGAGAGGGTACAGAAAAGAGGAGTTCCAAAGACATCTATGTAAGTGTGCATTTTGAGATTTGCAATGCACTTTACAAAATATTTGACTTTCACAATATTCTAGTGTCATTAGAGAGGTATTTCAAATACTTTTCACCATTTCACAAATAAGGAACGGAAGGTTCAGAGTACTTATGGTGCATCCAAAGTCACCACAGCTAATAAGTGGCAGTGCTCAAATGTGAACCTAGCTCACATCTAAATATGGTGACCTTTCCAATCCACAACAGCTGCCTCCCACATTTCTAAGGAAGATAAACTACTGTCTTTAGGATTGTCTCTGGACTCTACCATGCCACAGCAGGTTTCTTACCCTCAAAGTTCACTCTACCCTTGGAATTTTCACACTGGAAGTACACGGTATCCATACAGCCCCTTCCCCTGATAGGCTGATTCTTCCCAGAACTGCCATTTTAAGAAAAGAGCTCAGATAAGCCATGTCTTCTTCATTCCTCTCTGGTCTCCTCTACAAACTCTCAGGGCATCCACTCCCTCCCTCTTCACCTTCCTTCCATGTGCTGTCTAGCTCCCATTAGAATGAAAACTGCTTGAAGGCAGAGAGTGTCTTAATTTCTGCTTGTATTTTTATTCCCAATGCCTAACACAAATCACAGTAAATGCTTAATAAATGCTTTCTGACTTGACTTTTCATACCAGTTAATTAATAAACTTGTACCATCCTTTATATTTTTTTCAAAGCACTGATACACAATATTTCACTTGATCCTTATTATATACATACAGACTAGATGGCAAATGTTACACCAAGATGGAAAGATTTAAAGTCTGGGCCAATAATGGATTAGAGTATTAGACTACGCTTATGGAGACTTATCACCATGTTGGGCTGAGGTGATGACTTTTTCTGCCCAAATTCATGAAGATCACGTATTACTTGGCAGTACTTAGCATCCCTTTCTAAGCGGAAGGGAGAGAGGAAAGGCTGTGGCCTGAACTGCAAATCTTTGAAGTTTAAAAAAAAAATCAACTTACTTCACCTGAAATTAAAGTAAGCTTGGTACTAATTCAGAACATTCAACTACGCATTAAGCATCTACATGGAAAGTACTGCCCTGACAGTGAAAGAGATATTGGGAAAAACATGGTATCTACCTTCACAATCTAACTAGGAGATATGATACACAAATAAGGGGAATGCAAACAAGGTAACATGTAAGTCTTACATTGTAAGGTCTGAGGAAGAAAACATTGTTACCAACAGGGAGGAGGAACTCAAAGAAACCATCATGAAAAACAAAATATGAATTGGGTTTTTTAAAAGATGTGAGCAGTCAAAGGATCTGCATGAAAAAAATGCTCCAAATCTCTAATAATTAGAGAAATGAAAATTACAGCAACCCTGAGGTTTCACCACATACTCATCAGTTTAGCAAAATAAATAAATAAATGATTAAAGAAAAATATCAAATGTTGGAGGGGCTGCAGGAACACAGACACATCACTGCATTGTTAGTGGAGCTGGGAATTGGTCCTGCCATTCTGTAAACCAATTTGTAACTATGCTCCAAGTCAATCAACTGGGCATGCCTTTGACCCAGTGATACCTCTACTACACCTAAACTCCAAAGCAATCAAAAAGGAAAAGGACCCATTAGCAATTATTTTTATACTAGTAAAAAACTGGGAACTAAAGAGATACCCATCAACTGGAT